TAGTCGGGCTAATTTAGTAATTGTGTGTGCATCTTTGCAGAATCCTTCTGTTCTGATGAGTCCTCAGGAAACCCCGAAGTCTACTTTAGAAAAAGGCAAAGGGGCCAAACAATGAGATATACATCAATGTTGTTTTGTTATATTGGTCTTGGAGTTTCTCTCTTATCCTTTTGACTGAGAGTGGAAGGAAAAGGTTACCTGTGTGGACGATCCTGTGAATTGCAGTGCCTTGCCAAAAAAACCCCATTGTACTTCCTGGAATGTTTTTTGTGTGTCTACTGACCTATAAAGAGCACTGCAAAATTAACAGGTTTATAAACCCAAAGTGTCATAGTAATTCATATTTAAAATTGTTAAAAAAAATTGTTAAAAAACTGGTTAGCACAAAACCCAGTCTTTAGATTTATATTCTGTAGCAATTAATGTTTTAACCACTTGGCTGGCTGTATGCTTGACTTATTTAAAAGGAAGGCTTTTCACAAGCTTAGAATTCCCTGTTCTGCTTTATACCAACTTTTTTGATGGAAAAATAAGGACTTTTCCTTCTGCTGCCCAACCAGTGCAAGACAACCGTTGGGTTTGAGTCAAGTTTCAAGGCACAAAATCAAGACAAGTTTTGCATTTAAAAATAATCAAACATAAGGAAGAGCTGAAGAACTGATTAATTCCAACCAGCATGCATCACATTTTCAAAAGATAAATATAGATGTCCACTGGGATTTTTCGGAAGGACCTAGGCAGATTAAATGCCTAACTCCAACTGATATTTATATAATTTTAAATTACTTCAATTTTCCTTCCCTAATGCAATATAAACTGTGTCAGTGTGCAGGCAGCCCTTGTCTTATGGCTGCAACTTTGTATTTTGTTTGGTTTTAATTTGTTATCGCCCAAAATTCAGAAAATTAAAGTATTTAAGTTATGCAATCATTTGCATCATGGTGTCCAAAGCTATAATATACATTCCTAACTGTATGCTAATCAAGAAATACATAATTTCTCCTTACCTTAGTCAGTGATCTCTGTTCACACACAAGTGACAGCTGAATTTGTTTGCTGAGCCTGGAGTAACTGCATTTGAGAAACAATATAAACTCTCTCACGTGATATAAAAATATGTATGCATAAAGTAATGTTTAAAGTGGCTTAAGTGCATACTGTTGATGTGCAGATTCCTCATCCTGAAGCACTGTCTTGTGTCTCCTGTTTCACAGTGTTAAGGAGGGAGTTCTTAGCTTATAGATGTTTTGACTTTGCTGATCAGAAAGTCAATGATCAACAGTCAATGACTGTTAATAAATCATTCAAATGTATGAGAAAACTTTTTTTTTTCTTGTAACTAGAAGTGCGGATTAGGATTTTTATGGTGAATGGTCATAACTCTTTCCATTCACTTGTTGCTTTTGAAAGTGGACTGACTATATCAGCTGCATAAGTATACCTTTCTTGACTTTATGGTGATGTTTTTTAATGCCTTGCAAAATAGCAATTGGAGCCTAACATCTGATGGCTTGGGATTTTTTTGTTTTTGTTTGTTTTTTTTTTTTAAGTAACTAACACCAGAACTGAGTAATTTTAAGGAGCACTGAGAAGCCAGAGTTGGGCAGGTTGATTTATGAAAAATGTCCTTCCCTTGCTTACTTTTTATTTCTGTCTTTCTTGATTCTCTAGTTAAGTTCACTCTGTAATGAAGTGGTTTCAGTCCCACCTTCCCCTGAAAGTGTTTGGTTATTTGGATGAATTTAGTGAATTGTGTTACATTTTGAGATGGGCGTGTTTATAATCCATGGGTTTGGTGACTCTGGGGGCCTGCTAAGGTGCTTGGGAGATTTGGCAAGTTCAGCAGCAGCTGTCTTGGCATAGTCTCTGGTGTTTGGAGTAAGCCCATCTGTGCAAACTTTGCAGCTGAGAACGAGGTGAGTGAGACTATAGGATTGTTTTAGGGATAGGAAGGAACCTTCTCCCATTATAGGCTGTAAATTGTTAAATGATTTTCTTAACTCCGAGTACAAGGTGATGTGGCAACTGTTGCAAAGCCAAACGTTCGATCTCTTACTCATAAGTCATAACCGTCTTCATGACTAGTTCTTACTAGTACTTGTTTATGGGTGCGTATTCAGTAACGTGCAAAAGATGTAGTCTGTAACTGGAACTTGGCTGCTCTTTTAGTATTTATGGTTGCATATATAAAGCTGCTGTTAAGTGCACTAGGTACGTACAGTCCTTTACCAGGAAACACAGTTATGGGTTCCAGACCTGAGAGGCTAAGTTCCCAAACCCAGTGGAGCGCTGACTTCCAATCTGGGTTCCAAAGAATAAGACACTGTTTCCGAGCTTTACCTCAGTTATCCTCTGTTTTGCCAGGTTACTGTATCCTCTTTCCACTTCCAGTCCTGTTTCTCGTTGTCCCACCAAGAACAAAAAGAAAGACGGGGCAGAAAATGCAAATGCTTTAAGCTTGTGTACAACCCTTTGTAGTGTGATAGTGACTTGCAAAACACTACTGTTGCTGGTAAATAAATAAATAAGAGGAATAACAGAGGTAAAACCAGGTCCTTGATAACTTTCCGTATCTGTTTGGAAACGTGGGACAGTTGCTGAAGAGCACGTGTCTGGTGAGGGCTCATGGAGAATAGTGCCTGGCCTTTTGTTGTTGAGAACTAGTATTCATATTTGTAGCGAAAAGGAAGCATAGGAACATCACTGATAAATTTTGTAGATGATATAAAGGTAAGGGGAACTGAAAATAATGTGGAGGACAGATTAGTATACAGAATGATATGGTGAAGATCAGTAAACTCTGCAGTAGCAAACACTGCGCTTCTATACATCCAAAAGTATGCCTATAAAACATGAGACATGCCCATATGTGCAGTGGGGCAATATGTCCTGGGGAACAGTGTCTCTGAAAGGAAATATTCACTGCTGATGGATGTCAGTTCTTACTGCCATACCAAGTAACCAAGACTAGCGGTTATGCAGGCTAGTTCTGGCCTGCATAAGCAAAGGAATTATACCCGGCAGAAAGGTTACTATTTAAC